GAGTCAAGTCCTTGTCAGGTCTCACAGCACAAGTCCAGTACTCCCATCTCTACATCCCGCAGCAATGATGATCTTAAGGATTAGTCAGAGTGCAGCCAAGATTAAAGTTTATTTCTGCCATTTCATAACGTCTCCAGTCTCTGAATGTTATAGCAATGCTTGCTTTGCTTTTGTGGTCATTTACATGGGGCTACGTGGTCATTTAGGTGCGTAGCGTCTTCCAGTGCATCGACGGGTCAGGTCTGGCCAAAAGCTCTAACATACTGGGATGTAATACTGACAGTGGTGCAACGGTTTATCAGCATCTTGTTTGATGTTAGGCAGAGTTATGGTGCAGAGTCGAGAGGCACAAATAATAAAAGGGAATTTAATAATGAAATAAAAGCAAAACTTGCAAAAATCCAAGAGCGAACAAAAGGAGGAGAAACAGGAAGGTGACTGTGAGAGACTACTGAGGAACAAAGGACCGCTGGATGGGTAGGTGGACAACAGATAGGGGAAGTGATAGGAAGCTGAAGAAAAACTATAAATAGTGACATATTTAGTAAAACTAACGAAAAAGCAAGAGTTCTAATAAAGTAAATGACTAAAAAAGTGGGTGGCTAAATAAAACGACAAACACCAAGACTCTGACATCATAACATTTAGTATTTTAAGCACCATCGTTTAGTTTGTTAGATCCATCCAAATGGACCCAACCTTTGCTGCTGTCCTTAAACTGCTCCAGCTTCCAGAATTTCACAGCATGTTGTAAAACATTCACTTTTCTTAATAACTTATAGTTCTATAGGAGTAGCCACGCAGTAAAGAACAATGAAGTAATGTTGCATGAATTACTATTAGCATGACCTTTGGCCTTGACTGTAATTGGACTAGCCATTAGCCCATCGCTTCTGTAGACTATCACCTCCCCGTGAAGAGGTCATTCAGAAATCTGTCTATAGTGGTTAAGCTAATAATTATAACATTTACACCAAAATACCACAGAGATGAATAGATCTTTACATGTATTTAGAGGATGATAGTGGCAGTGAAGTCAAGTATCTTACCTTTAAACCGGAGGGTTGTAGGATAGAGTCCCACTGTTGCAGTTGTTGTGTCCCTGGGCAAGACACTTCACCCACCTTGCCTGCTGGTGGTGGTTGGAGGGACTGGTGGCGCTAGGGCTCAGCAGCCGCTCCTCCATCAGTGCACCCCAGGCCAGCTGTGGCTACGCTGCAGCTCATCATCACCAGTGTGTGAATTTGTATGTGTATGTGTGTGTGTGTGCATGTGTGTGTGTGTGTGACTGATTATGAAGGTGTGAAGGGTCTTGGGGGGTTGTAGAACCCTAGAAGGTACAAATACAGACCATCTACTATGGGTGATTTAATGGTGACCAGCAGGACACACTTCACACAGGTCCACCTCTGGTTCTTTCTTACCAAATAATAAATGGTCTGTATTTGATATAGCATCTTCTATGGTCCTACAACCCCCCAAGGCACTTTACAACACAAGCAGTCATTCACCCATACACATGCTGGCTGTGATGAGCTACATTGATGCTGCTGAGTACAGGCGCCACCGGCCCCTCGGACCACCTCCTGCAGTAAAGGTGGGTTAAGTGTCTTGCCCAAGGACACAACGACTGCGACAGACAGGGCTCGAACCTGCAACCCTCCGGTTACTGGCCGGGCACTTAATTCCTCTGCTAGTGTCGCCCTTAATCCCTGTAAAGTGGTGCTGTTGGCCACATTCTTAATTGCTCCATCAACTGTTTGTGTGCTGGACAAAAAGCTACTTAAAGGCGAGGTTAGTCAAGGACGTGACCCCAGTCGCTGCAATTATACCAAACGTAGTGTCCAATTAGAGCTCTTTGCAATGCGACGCTGTTGGTGTTTATGTGAGCAACTTCAAGTTCTCACTGGTAGTGGCCGTTCTCTGATTTACATAATTGTGGGATTGGTCATTAATGGGAATGGTGTATGAGAGGATCCCATTAAGATACGGAGTGAGATGTGATCTCACTCTGCAGCTTGGTGCCTTTTATCTCCAGCTGTTCTGGCAACACTGGCAATTATGAGGATTCTTATCAGTTTAGGGATTTTATTTTTATTTTTGGTGAATTATCAAACTTTGGCACAGTAAGGATGCAAGACTTGGCAGAATGAGCCCAAAGCGAGGACAAGTGTAGTTTTTTGAAGCAGTGTGCGTGTTTCACCAGCGAGGGGCAGCATTAAGTCAAGCTGCTGCAGCGCTCCTAGTTGCAGGAGGTTCTCTCATTATTTGTTATATGTAAGCAGTTTGGTGTAAAAGCATCTTTCTCATATAAATATGGAAGTAAAATGTGAACTAAAACAAACAAAAAAATGTATTTTCATATACTTCTAACATATTTATGTTGAAATACCATCTAAACATCTACGCTGAAGTGTCGTTATTCTCCCAAAACGAGCGTCACACTCCTCCAACAGTTTGGTGTTTCACCCTCAGGTCTTCTCCGCTGCCACCGTTTAGTGGAAGTGTCTAAACTGTTGTTTTGTTGTTTCGTTTTGCACCACATTAACCTCTTTCACAACCCCATCGCAGAGGTCTTGTTTTCCTTTACAACTGCCTCCAAAAGGGTAAAAGCTGTCATTTGAACTGCAAAACGTGATCTCTCCAATGCAATAAGCCGCTTCATGAGCTGTAAGTGATCTTGAATCCATTATTTATCACCTGCTGTTGGTGCCATTACACTGAAGAGTGGGACCCGGTTGTACAAAGTGCTGTTGTGCTAAACAGTTCCAGCGGCAGGAAAAAGCCACTCGCGCTCCTCGTACTTCAGCTGAACTTTGATTAATGCAGCACTATGTCACAGCGTAAAACATTTTACTGCAGCAGTCGTTCTGACGGAGACCCGGGTCGATGCTGAACAGCATCAGGAGGCGGTGTGCGTTGTAGAGACAGCTTCGTCCCAGTGACAGCCCGACCCAGGGGTTTATAGGTGACATATTAACATTTGACAATATCAATAGACATTATTGATGGAATATAGTGTCCAGTTATGTACCCATCACTGCAGTGTTTAAAGATGAAATGTTACCCCTTATAAAGGAGTTGCACCTGCTGATGTTCTAAACATAAAGGCCTGGAACGGTTTCATTTATCTAATCCATTTTGTCTCTTTCAACAGGCATAGCATATTCCTCCTCCCGCACTAGAGATGTACATGTGACTGCATTTAAATATTTCACAAGTCCCAATTTATTTAGATACATTTCATCCTTAGCGTCAATACCCATAAAATGTTAGCGTGTTTCTGTAATTTGACCCATTTGATGCCAAGTTTATCATTTAAACCTGCACTGTGAATGAAAATGAAATCATTATTTTGTCTGACATGTCCGGAAGACTGAGCAGGTGTAAGAACATACAACATTAAAATCAACATGACAGCATAAAACAGCAGATTTTAACATTTTTATTTAAGAACACACAAAAAATTAGATGCAAGTATTGGATAAAAAAGGCAAAGGCTGAGCAGTTACAGTGCAGAAGGTGCAGCATAAGAAACATTTACTCAAAGGCCATTTTGATATAAAAGTTTCTAAAGTTGGGGCAGATTTGAGGTCACGAGGAAGCTGATTCCATCTGTGAGCAGCTAAAAGCAGCTTCACCCTGTTAGGTTCTGACCCGGGGTTCTTCCAGCTGACTGTTTCCAAAGGATCACACAAACCAAACACCGTCCTGCTGGATGTACTGCAAAGAGATCCATAGGTCACAGATGTCCTACTGATGCACAAAAAAAAATGCTATGTATTTGGTTCACTGCAGAAACCTACAAGTCTGCTCTGGGTCGGTATCAAAGTCTAGACTTGAATTATTGTCCCAGTCTGCCCCTGGGTAACCCCCCTCACTCATCCGTGTCAATCAGCACCTCCTCACCTGAATCATCTACCTCGTCTTCTTGCTCAGAATCAGGTCCCGGGGCTAAGTTATGTCGTATATATAAACATTTTGTGATGAAAGACACCTGTGTAAACAAACTTGGCCCTGCAGGTGTTTTGCTAATCTACACAGCCTAGCTAAAAAGAAGAGTTGCCACCGAAAAACAGGTCCAGACATGAAAATCCCTCGCTTTTCGGTGGAATTTGTCATTTTGAATCCTAAATAGGCCACCTACATGAGTCGCGCAGAACCAAGGAGGAAAATACTTGAGGGTGGGGGGTGGGGGTGTCACTGTTTCACCAGTCTCAATATTATCCACTGGGGGAAACATTCAAGAGGATTTTTAAGACATCCCTAACACCACCAACAGTAGAAGAAAAAAATGTCGGAACTGGTGACGCGCGACCCGCAATAACACATCTCGTCTAGAGGTTTCCTGTGTAGACCTTGGGACAGCTCTTTACCGCTTGTATGATCCGAGCCCAAACGGAGTAAGCACGACGGGTCGGATCGGACTTGAGTCGATGAATGATTTGAGCATGATGAGTCGTGCTAGGAAAACTGAGAAAGAGAGAGAGACTGGCCGTGCAATGTGGGGAGACGAGGACGCACCTCAGACGAAACACAGTGGAAGCGTTATCATTCATCCATGGCACCATTCATGTTTACAGCGAAACCAGGTTTTAAGTTTTATGTTCACGTTACAGCTTCAAGCTTTAGGCCAGCATAAGCTAAAGGATAAGTGCAATATGTTGAGTGTCTCTGTTTTTCTATACTCGCAGTTGCGGTCTGGGGTGAGAGGCAACACGCCCCTTGACCCATTTTCATGTCTGTCGGTCACACACTAACATTTTGTTGGACCGCCTTTAGTTTTGAATAAAGCACACATTCACTGTGGCGTTGTTTTGATAAGCTTCTGCAATGTCACCAGATTTATTTCCATCCAGTGTTGCATTAATGTTTCAACAAGATCTTGCATTGATGATGGTAGAACCTGACCCCTGCTCAAAGCCTTCTCCAGCACATCTCGAAGATTCTCAATGGGGTTTGGGTCTGGACTCTGGTTACCAATCCATGTGTGAAAATGATGTCTCATGCTCCCTGAACCACACTTTCACTATTTGAGCCCGATGAATCTCGGCATTGTCATCTTGGAATATGGCCGTGCCATCAGGGAAGATGGAATAACCTGGTCATGCCTAGGAATTGAAACAGA